AAAGCAGCGAACGAGAACCGAAAACAAACAAGGCCGTGGACGCTGCGGGTTTGGTGGGGTTTTTTTTTTGCCCAGTCCTCCGCCACTTGGCCCCGCCGCCCCTGCGCCTCCTCCCTCAGACGTAGCAGAGGTAGAGATAGGTCTTCTCTATCCGCCAGTCGGTGGGGATCTCCTCCGGCTTGTGGCCCTTCATGTGCTTCTGCATGGCGGAGAGGCTGGGGCAGTACTCCAGGCAAATGGTGCACTGGTAGGGGGAAGCGCCATTGTGGGTCCGAAGGTGTTTGATCATGGCCGAGTAGTCCCGGGAGCGCTGGTGGCACAGCTTGCACTCGAAGGGCTTCTCGCCTGCGGGAGAGAGGGAGACGGGGGCGTCAGCGGGGGCTCGGGGCCTCCGGGCGGTAATTAACTGCCCGGCATCGACGCTGCCGCGGAGTGGGTCTCCAGCTGGTGCTTGAGGCTGAACTTCTTGCCGCAGCCGTTGCACTCGTAGGGCTTCTCGCCGGTGTGGATGCGCTTGTGGCCCTTGAGGGTGCTCTCGTCCCGGAAGCAGCTGCCGCAGAACTCGCACTCGTAGGGGTGGTCGCCTGCAAGCACACGCGCGCGTCAGAGCCACCGTCGCGGCCACCGCGCCATGCCAAAGCTAGCGCCCCGGCCTGCCTTTGCCTCCGGCACCCGCCGCCGCCATCCCGAGGGACGGAGCATCCCAGCTACCCCAGCACGGCCCGCCAGTCTCCGCATCCCCGTGCGGAGGGGACGCTCGGCTCCGCAGCGGGGAAGAGACGGGAGGGTGCCGGGAGCCTCCCGCCACCAATTCCCGGGCTCTTCACCAGGCATCGCCGGCACAGACCCGGCCCCGGGCGTCTCCCCCGCTCCAGACCGGGCGGCTGATAAATGAACTCCGGTTCGGCACCGAAGGCAGAATGATTTGAAGGAAAGGTGAGGGCTCCAGCTACTTATTTATTACAGCCGCGAAGGCAAGGACAATAAAGATAGATTGATCGTCCGAGACTTTGTTCATGAATATTTAAATATTACTGATTTGTCTTGTCACTGTAATTACAATTTCTCTGTGCCGCATATCCTACAAGCACAGTTTATGGTAAAGAATGGCCAACTGTATTTCACTTGTCCTGCTGCAGATGTGCGGAGCTGCCAAGCGTGTAATGTTCCCCGCATTTCATACATTTTCTTCAGCTGTGAAGGCTTAAGTCATCCACAATGACCTACGTTTTTTCATTATCCCCGTGTCAAACTGCACTCGTGCCTGGGCATAAATTGTCCTTCTCGTTATATACTCACATGCCTGCGCTTTCGCTTCCTCTTTAAAATGATATTTTACTCTCTCCCCGTGTGCCGCAGCCAAGCCCTGCGGCCCCTCGCCCCCTCCCGCCGCTGCTGCTGGGCACCCGAGGAGGAGGAGGAGGCGGCGGCGGCTCGGGACGCGTTTCGGACCCCCCTCAAAGGCGAGCCGGGTGCTGCCTGGGGGCAGCTGCGCTTCGCCTCCCCACGCCCAATTCCAAATTATCGCCTCGGTTTTCGAGCCTGTCGTCCAAGGCAGCGATTTGCAGCCAGAGGCAGACGGCGTTTCCACGTGCTGGGTTTTTCGGAGGAGCCGTGTAAATGGGAGCTGCGGCCCCCGGCGGGCTCCGGCCCCGGGAGGAGCGCGAGCATCCCGCATCCGCGCGGGATGAAACCACGCGGCACGATTGAACACCCCTGAAGCGCCGATGATGCCGGTGTTCTTTCACAGCCAGGAGCTGCTAAAGCGGCAGAGGTTGGGGTGGGACACGCAGGGCCCGACCCGCAGCCCAGGTCACCGGATTACCGGCTATAAACAGCTCCAGCGCTCGGCATTAACGTGCTTATCATCAGCACGCGATTCCCGTTTCCCACGTCGGGACCCCGAGCCCAGGCACACGCGTGGGTCTGGCGGCCGCCGGCCGCAGCCCGGATGGAGCGACCCTCCCCTCGCGCTGCCCGCGTGTCCCCCCAGCAGCCGCTTTTACGTCCCCTTTGGAGGCTGTCTGCACGCGCTCTGCTTAAGGGGAGAAAGGAGGAGGGGTGCCCCGACTCGGCACGCCTTTTCCTCCCTGCCGGCAATAAAAGCGCAGCCGAGGAAGGCGCGGGAGCCTCCAGCTCGCCAGGGCAAAGGGTGGGCGAGGAGCGCGTCACCCACGCAGCTGCAGAGAGCCGTGGCGCCGGCCGCGAGGCACGGCAGGGCTGCGAAGCACTGGGCAGGCTCCCCCCGCACGACCCCGCTCGTCCCCCAAGGATTTGCTTTCTCCTGCGCTGGGGGGTTTTGCAGCTGGACCCGAGTGACGGCGCTCACCGTGCGGCCGGGACCTCTCCCCCCTGCCCTCCCCTGGCCCTGCCTGGGGACCTGCCCAGGGATGCTGGCGGAGGAGCCGGGGACACGGCGCGAGGCGGTCCAAGCCCCGCTCTCCCACGCCGGGCCCTGCCCCGGTGGGCTGCGCCACCGAAGCACCAGCTACACGTAGCGCAGGTCGCCCTAATCCCATTAGGGCCGAGCACCAGCTGATTATGTGCATCTACCGCCTGTAAGCCGATGAAGCGGGTACGATCGCACATCCCTTAAGAAGGTCACGTGTCGCCTTACACCGGATCAACTTATTACACGCGGCTTTTTTTTCCCGTTTCATTTTTCAAATCCAAACAACCTCAGCTGCAGTCGCCTCGACACTTTTAAGACAATTTCACCTTTCTTTTCCCTTTGTTTTTTTTTTTTTTTGTGTTTTTTTTTACAAATGGGGAGAAGCCTGCCCTGGGCGCCCGAGCGGCGAGCACCCCGGCGGCGGAGCCGTCGTACCTGTGTGGGAGCGGAGGTGCCTCTTGAGCGCGGTGTGGCTGGGGAAGGTGCGGTTGCACTCGCTGCAGATGTAGCTGCGCACCCCGGCGTGCACCTCCATGTGCTGCTGCAGGGCGCTCTGCGTCTGGAACCGCTTGCCACACAGCAGGCAGAAAACGGCCATGTCCGTACCTGCCAGAGAGGGAGAGATCCGACTTAGGCAGCGCCCGGCACCCAGGACCCCCGTCCCGCTATCCCACTGCCCCGCCACGTGTTCGGGGTCCCCCCGCTCCCTCCTGGCGGCAGGGGGGACCCTGAGAGCTGCGGGGCTCTGGGTGTCGCTGAAGTCCCCGGCGGTGGGACGCTGGCCACCTCGACCCTGCTGCTGCTGGCCCCACGGGGGGAATGCAGGCAGAGGGCAGGGGGCTTTTATTGCACTGGAGGCAGCTGGAAGCCCCAGCCCTGTGACCCCCAGGGATGCCCAAACGCAAGGCAGCTGTTGGGTGATCACCGCAACCCCACGCACCTGCAAGAGCTGCCGAGCTCAGACCGCTCCATGCCTGGCGAAAGGGGGCCCCGGGAAACAAAACACCCTGCAAAGCCGCCCCGGGGAGCAGGGGCTGGATGCAAGAGGGCGACGTGCCTGCCCCTGCGCGGCGCGCGGTCCCGAGCCCTAACGCAAAGACAAGCTCCGTCCTGCCAGCCGCAGGCGCGGGTATAAAGCCGGCTGCATCAGCCCAACGGCAAAAGCAGGGAAAAAACCCAACCCCGGATACTTACGCACCGTCAATAAAAATATCAGGCCTTTGTGTTATTAAACACTTTGCTTTCGTTTACGCGCAGCTGATTGTTCAGAACCTACGAGTCAGTGCAAATTGTATTACGCGGGGAGATTAAGCAAATAAATGCTAGCTTTTTGGAGACATTAAAACGCGAGGACTATGGAAATAAAATTACCTAGAAAATTGTATTAGCAATTCATTAGCAGCAGCAAGATGTTCAAGGTAACCGACGGATCTGCGCCGCCTTTAGGAACAGCAGGGGCGGGGGGGCTGCTCGCCGCGCTGCCAAAAGCAGCCCGGGGGAACCCGGCGGCGAGGCGGAGTCGCCGGAGGGGAGCCCGCCGGGACCACCGCGCCACGGGGCA